TTTTTTTTTTTTTTTTTTTTTTTTTTTTTGAAATCCCATAAAATCATCATCACATGTCGATTCCACATTCACAAACACAAATCAGAGACCTCTGCGGCCTTCCTCCTGAATACTTGACATTAAAAGTTTTTTGTTGTTCTCCACCTCAGGTTTAGTTTTAAAACAAATTCAGTTGGCAGAAATTAAATTTCAGTTACGTTAAAGCCCAAAGTATCCACATTTATCAATGCTGGTCACTCTTTTAGAGGGGAAATCATGGGTAACTCTTTGGAAATGAATAGTTGTGTTCACTGAGAGAATAAAATAGTGAGTAGCCAGGGCTCCTGGCTAGTAAAATTTCTAAGGGCATTCTATAAAAACGTGGCTTGACACAAGCTGTTTGACAGTGAGTCGGGACATGATGAGAATCTTCTGGAAACAGGAGAAGCATCCAGCATCGATGTCCTCCTTACACGAACCAGCACAATTAGTGAAAACCTGCACGTCATGAGGAAACCAGGATCCAGCTTGTGCCACTGAAGCTGCAGGAACTGTAGGTGGAGTTCAAGAGGAGTGGAGCTGATGTAAATAAATAAACAAAGGGCTGGGGAAGACATCGGGGTACCCCCGAGGCTGGGGGAGAGGAGAGCGGGGCTCAGGTGCTGTCGTGGCTGTCCTCACACTGCCCGGAAAAAAACCCACCCTGCCTCGGCCAAAATTCCCGTGTTTTCTGGCCATTTGCACTGTCAGTGCTTTAACCGCAGGACAGGGGTCGGTGCTGGAGGTGGCAGAGGTGGCGGGACCGGCCGGCGCCGCAGTTGATGGATGATCTGGTGCACTGGTTTGCATTCAGTTGGGGTGAATTGGTCATTTTCGTGCTCAAAAGATGTTCCATGCAATCTTTTCCATACCCTGTAGAAGGCTCTTCCCCACCGAACATCCTGATAAATGACAAAGAAAGATTAGTTTGTGGGATTAAGGTAATTTTTTTTCACGTGGTTGTGAAAAGACACGGACGTCGGTGTACAGTGAGTACCTCGTGTCCACCAGAGCTCAACACCTTGAGTTACAAGTGTAAACCAAGTCGTCACAACCAGCAGCCAAACCCGTTTGATCCTTGGCATCAAGGCCAATCGCAGAAATAGTAATTATTCAGCTAATATGGTTCAATGTGAAATAATTGTTTGGAATCAAATGATTTTCTGTCACGGACAGGCCAGCTGGGGAACAAGCAATCTAGTAGTAAAATACGCTGTCCTCTAATGCAGCGTGGGGCTGCATGTATGATGAGGCAGTTAGGTGTGAGGCAGGACCACAAAAACGATGGAGGAATAGGGGAGTGTTTTGGCTAACAGCTTCAAATCCTTTCTGCCACCCCCCCCTCTGTAACAGGCCCTTCTCACGCCAAAAAAAAAAAAAAAAAAAAAAAAAAAAAAAAAGGGGTGAAAGGAAGGAAGGAAGGAGAAGTTCCTGCGTTGGCTGCCTCCTCTCCGTTTGCGGGGTCTGGGGCTGGCTCTGCACACAGACAGAGCCGTGTCAACAACGAGGCGAGGGTGACATTTCCCTCTCTCAATTACACGGGAGCTGTTCACCGCCGGTATAAAACACACACCGCGCTCCTGCAAGATTCATTGTCCTGAGGTCAGCTGGAACTTATTGTCCTTGTTGCCTCGGAACAAGACAAATCTGACATCTGTAAGATTTGCTGTTAAATAATCCAAACCAGGAGTGGGACGGAGCCACACAGAGAAATGGAAACGTTCGGGCGCCGTGGTAGAAAATCAGTAATTTAGATACAAGGCGCTGATGCTCGCCGGCCTGGCGCGCCCTTCGTTTGCTATTGATTGCTTCTCCTAACATTTAACTTCTTCCTTTAAATACTGCGTGCACTGGAAGTTTCAAAGTCAGTGCTCGCCTGCTAATCTTTCCCCGGTATAAATAAATTAAACATTACATGGAAATAATCTTTGGATTTCCAGCTATCTGTCTTTGGGTTTGCCTCCTGGTTTAGCGCTGCCACCGGCGCCTCTCCCCCGTTAAAATGCATCCGCAACATATCGCCAAATGAGATGGAGATGTAAAAGCATTTTTTTTTTTTTTAAAAAAAAATTACACCTCACATTTGTCGGACACCCAAGGCAGTACGTTAAAAACAATCCGAAGAAGAAAAATAGTTGGGATGAAGCAGAGCTCCCGCGCTTCACAACCAGAGCCCACCCAACAGGCTCCCCGCCGGATCCTGCTCGCAGGTGGAAAAGCCGCTCGGACGCACGCACCGAGCTCTCCCCGAATGAGCTGCTGATAAATCTAATCCTGAAGGATTGGAAATGAGGTAAAAGAAATTTTGATGAAAATTATGTACATGTACTTTGACAAGCTCATAAACACTGCAGTCATGATAAGTTTTCTTATATATATATATATATATATATATATATATATATATAT